TTTTGCATGCTTTTGTTTCTGCAGCATAAAAAAAAAAAAAAAAAAAAAAAAAACTAATTACTCTACAACACTACTTTATTGCACCAACAATTGGATCAAGGTATTATTTATACCTTTAAAACATATTACATTCTTAGAAATGTCAGGTACACTTTTTAATCATTTAAAGAAAAAGACCGAAATTATTGCTTCAATTAAAGATCTACATTTGTTCCAACATGCTGTGAGGCAGAGAGAGAAAATAAGTAAAAATATAAGAGAACAGTTACATAACAACATTAATACACATCTTGCTTTTCCATGGAATATGATGAATTGATAGCTGTGATACAGCATAATTGCTTATTTTTACTCATATGACTTTTAAACATTATACACATAAAAAGGAATTGTTGGGTATGATTTCTTTGAAAGAAAGAACTAAAGGTATAAACATATTCAAGTTTCTTAAAAGCATCCTCACTAGTATGAAATACCACTTTTTAAATTAGATTCAGTAACAAAGATGGAGCAGGAGCAATGATTAGTCAGATAAATGGGTGTTTAACTCTATGTCAAAATGATAATAAAGTCCCATGTTTTTTGGCTACAACTGCATATTTCTCAATGTATCAGACAATAAAAGAATAAATACAAAAGAAATAACAAATATACCATTCAAAACTGTTAATCATTTGAGGAATTTCCCTCAGTGGGGTCTCTTACAACTTGATGAAAGACAGACAGAATTGTTATTAAATACTGACAGAAGGTGACTTTGTAGTAATTATTTTTTCTGGGGTTACATTTAATTAATGATAATTATTAATATAATGTGTTAATTTAATACCAGCCTCTCAGCACAATCCACCAAAAGCTACTGTTGCAAATAGCCACTGTTGTGACCCACTTTTTTTTTTTTTTTTTTGGTAATTCATAAAAAGGCTTTCATCAATTTATGCTGTTTTGTTAGGTACTGTGGTTTCATCCTAAGCTCTGTTTAGAATGCCATGAGCACAAACTTCTCGAAGGTGACCATTACAGTCTATTGTTTTGCCAGACATATCCACCTGTTTCCCCCCATTCTACGCATGTTAATTATCTCAACTAACTATAAGAGAACCAAAGGGCAGTCACAAACATAATTTTACAGCTCCAAATATCTTCCCCCCCAAAAGATAAGGGAAAAATATAACAATGACAGTTAATTTATAATTCTTATTATAAAAACAAAAGCTGACTTGTCAAGAATCTTATCAGAGTTACATCAAACAAAACAGAAGATATTATGAAAGTGTTGTGATGTTATGCTGATCTATAATTGCCACTAAATTGAGCTGCTACAGTTTCATAGTTGATGGGATAATTGCAAGTAACAACCAACAGGAATAAGAAAGACAGCAAATAAATTAAACTTCTGCAAAAAGGATTGGAAAAGAATTTAAGAATGAATAATTTTGTTACATTTTACATATTTTTCAAGATTACAAATGAATATATAAAAAATGCAGAATTAATAAAAACTACTTTCATAAAGTCATACTGACGTTCTAACACACAAATGAAAATATAGTGTTACTTTACACACAAGAAAATTTTAGAAATGTTCCGCTTACTTGCTTTTGAAGGACACACTCAAGATAGCAATTTAAAATATATCTAGAATTATTGTTTTTATAATTAAACTTTAAATGAAACAACTCCATAGACCATGCATAAAATGCATAACTTTACAGCAGGGTTTAAGAGAATAAAAATGCGTTAATGAAAAGATTAAATTAAATAAGAGAAACAAGATTAAGATTAGCTCAGTTTGGTAATTTTCCACAGTAGAAAAAAAATGAGGACTCGCAAAAAATGATTCACTACATGCACATATATAACACATTTTAACTAAGTATTGATCCTCAAAAATAAATTTATAAGCAGCTTTTTGCTTCTTTTGTTCCAGAAGAATTTTAGAGTGAATTAGGAATAGATTCACAGCAAATATTTGTGTGACAAAACACTATATTCCTGGAAGTTAGGCTAGATCAGCGCTGTCCAACTTATCATAGCCCGCGGGCCATATTTTCTTCACCAAACATTTCGGTGGCCAAGAAGGTTGATAAATGAAAAGTCAGTTTATGTTAATTAAAAAATACTTTATTTATACTAAAAAGAAAACATTAAAATATTCGTAATATATTAATGAGAACATTGTGGCCATAATTGTTTAGCAACAATATCTTTTATGTCCACATCAATATTTGTTGTGGTAAGTTTAATTATTACCTTCAAGAATGGAATCTTTCAAACTGCTTCTATATTTTGACTTTATATATTTCATATCGGATCACTTTATATCTACACGCTCGCAGATATATGTACTTCCGAACACTGATACAATTTGAAGTCCAAAATCTCTCAATTTTGGATATTTCTCTTTATCTAAAAATTTGAATATTTCTATTCCAGTTACTCCACGAGATGTAAAAAATGGGTCAGCCTGCAGGTCTCATAATTCTATTTGATATTTAAGATCAATAGAGTTGATATCAATATTAATTGGATCACAAAATAAATCAATAGACGGTTTAAGATCATCAAATTGAGAAAATCTTTCATTGAAATCTATAATTAGCATACCCAATTTTGGTAGAAATATTTTAAAATCCGCTTCTATATTACATTCCTTCATTTCTTCAGAGATTTCTTTGCAAGATTCAAAATGAAATAAATTATTTTGCTCCAAATTAAACCTTAACAATTCTAATTTGTTTCTAAATCCAGTAACATATTTATAAAGGCAACACATATTTTGATCTTGTCTCTGCAAGGATTTATTCAAAATATTTAAATAATTTGTAATATCTATTAGGAAAGCAAGTGAATAAATAAAATTTTTATCAAGTAAATTTGCTGTTAAATTTTCATCGACGGCAGTTTCCGTGAGAAAAAGATGAACTTCTTTTCAAAGTGTAAAGAATCTCCTCAAGCACTTTCCAGCACTTAACCAATGGACATTACTATGTAAAAGCAGATCTCCATACTCAGTTTCCAATTCATTCAAAAATGTTTTAAATTTTCGGCATGTAAGAGAACGATTTCCACCACAAATTAAATTAGTAATTTTGCAAACCTTGTCCATTACGTCTTTTAGTTGTAGGGATAAACCACATAATGCCTCCTGATGGTTAACACAGTGTAACATACGACATCATATTCCTTCTTTTTGCAAAAGTCCCGCGAGCCCAATATTTTTGCCCGTCATAGCTCTAGCACCGTCGGTTACAATAGCGGTGCACTTGTCAAATCCGCCATACTGCTCTACTGAACATTTTAACTGTTTGTAAATATCTTCACCTTTTGTTGTTCCGTGTAATGATTATAATTTTAAAAGTTTTTCTGCATAATTATAATTATTATAAAGATAAGCATTTGACTTGTATTGGAAATGTCTATGCTTTCATCCAATATTACCGAAAAAGAGCAGCAACTATTGATTAAGTTTTCTAATTTATTAGTGACATGCATGCTAATCTTGTTTACACGTCGGATTACAGTCTGGTGAGAAAGTGATACTGTTTGAAATTTTCTTACCATTTCGTTGCCATTAAATGCTTGAGCCATTTTTATGGCAAATTTTTTAATGAATTCTCCAACCAAAAATGGCTTCTTTGCCTTTACTATTTCTAAACAAACTTCAAATAATGCAGCCACAGATGCTTCTTGATTAAAATAAATCGTTTGATGATCCAGCTGCTTTTTCATTTTTTTCACTAGTATTTTCATGTCTCGCATGTAGGAATGATACTTTTTTTCATGCATGGAAAGATAATGGCGCTTTAAGTTATATTCTTTAGACACAGTTATGATTTGTAAACATTCCAAACACTGTGGTTTATTATTCTTGTTCAGAATAAATAAATAATCTAACTCCCAGCGATCTTGAAATTCTCGATTTTCGAGGTCTATTTTTCTTTTATTAGTAGCACTCATATTCAATAATTATTTTAATTAATAAATAAATATGAAATTTAGTTCATAAAATTATAATACAGTCACCCCTCAACAAATTCTAGACAGGACTGCACTCACACGATTGTATGAATCAACCAAATAGTGCAGGGTAGTGTGCGTATCACGTGCACCAACCACCATCAGATGTTAAACAGATTGCTGCTGTATTCAGCCAGGTTAAGTGAAGTTACACAAACTAAATAGTACCTACTTTAAATTCAAATTAGATTAAAATTTTCACATAGTAAATAATTTTAATATTAATAATAATAATAATATAATAAATTTTTAATAATAATAATAATTTAGTAACATAAATTTATTCATAGTAAAATTTACTCGTAGGCCATAAAAATAATTTGGTGGGCCGTCCGCCAGTTGGACAGCCTTGGGTTAGATTATCTGAATATGACAAAGCACACAAGGGCTATCTGACTTATGAGAAGGATATTTTTGTGAAGGACTTTCTATGAGAAGGTGGCACATATTGACATTACAAATAGGGAAAATCATGAAATCTATCAACCTACTATTGGTAGGTTCATAGGTTTTCATGGTTTTCCCTATTTTGCCTATTTTTATTCCATTTCTATTCCAACAGCCAAATGGACTATGCAATCAGTCCATTCGGCTGGGTATAAGCTACTAGTATTCAGCAATTTTAACCACTTTGACCATTGGTGAGGCATTGCATTCCTGCCGAAATTTTATTGCAATTTGTCCACATCGAGCAAATCCAACAAGTCCATATTTTAAAGTTGAATTTTTGACAAAAATAATACAGTTTGTTAATAACAACCATACTAATTTGGAATATAACAAAACAAGCACATACGAAAATGGCAATTCTGATTGTAAACTGAAGAATTGTTATGCTCATAGTTGTCATAGTTTGGAGCATTCTGAAAATTTGATGACGTAAGTGATTACGGTAACACATAAGTATAAATTAAAGATTTTCAGGGAAGAAGCAAGAGTATTATATCCATATTTTTTAATTTCATAAATTTATTCCTTACCTAAGAACGCAGGTGTGAGAATTTTCACTTATTGTCTTTGGTCTAGTAGGTAAACTATCACATCTTTCTCTACTATTTGACAGTGAACTAATAGTTACAGATGAGACACTCTGGGGTGTAACAATGCCTATTGGACGTCTAGTTACAACTGGGTTTGAGTTTTCACTAGTTGAGGCACTGCGAGGTCGAGGAAGGAGATTTCCATTCTCTCTGATCTTGGAAGACTTCATTGCACTAATAAATAAGAAACTTAATGTAAAATTCATTCATAAAATATATACATTTTATATGAAAACTCATAATAGTATTTTTCAAAATACATAATTTTTGGAAAATTAAAAACAATTTCATTTTTTTAAACAAGGGTTCCAAAACTTTCTCATGGATGTCCATTAACAACAACATATAAAATACAAAAACCAAACATTAATGAGAAATCAGTATTATTTTTTAAAATCAGCAGCTTTTATTATGTTAATGCAAGTTGTAGGGAAAAAACATGTTTGTCGTAAATGCACTTAGCTTTCATTAATTGGTTTTAGCAATAAAATCACTACTCATAATGAAATTTTTGTAGAAATATATTTTCATCGTATTCTCTGAATTATATTTGTTGATTTTAGTTTTATTGACATCATATTGTTACAATAAAACTTTGAGTACTTAGTAAATTAATAAATGACAATTAAAAAAACCACATGCTTCATATAGCGTTTTAAATAAGTTTTTCTGTGTAAATTTTTATTAATGAGAAATAAGTGAATAAATCTAAATTTACAGAATTTTTTTAAAAAATGTTAGTTTACAACTAATGACTAAAAAGTACTTCACTTTTCCAACAAACAGTCTAAGGGGGCAAAAATTGACTGCAGAAGAAAACTAAATTTATAGCACATAAGTCATGCACAAAATTAATTTTATATTTTTAAGTCGGTACTAACAAACACTAAACATGAATAATAACATTTCTAAAATCAAAAGAAATATTCTCCATACACATATCAGGTAAGAGCTCACCTCAAAACTGTTTCATGCATATTTTGAGCTATAATAGTTGCCTCAGTGGCCATGTATATTTCCCCAGCTCCTGTTACAGCAGATCGACCAAGTTCGATGAAAAAATGATCTTTCGAATGGCCACATCTTCTAATACTCATTAACTAAACAAGCAAATTACATTTCCTACATTAATTTCATTACAATACAATGAAACTTTTAAATAAATATATAACAGAAATGGGGATTTTCATTAAATTATATAAATAACCTTCTATGTTGGGTTCTAAATAAGAATACAGGTATGTTATTCATTACTTCATTGGCAATACAAGCAGAGGAAAATGAACATGAAACAACTTATAGACAAATTATGTCAAAATTGCAAAACACAGCAGTTTAATAATACCTTTCAAAAAAGCATATCTTACAGCTTAAAGAACCCATATCAGTGACGTAATGTTTGGGTGAATCATTTAGCAACTGGTTGCATGTGAATCTCAGATGGCATACCTTGAGAATTACAAGAAATTGCACTGTAAAAATATCATACAGCGCAATTTCTCAAGTCTGGCAGTGATGAAAATATCAATCACATATTTAGTTGTAGACATTCATGGGTTATCAAAAAGTATGATTACTTATACTTAGCAGATAAACAGATGAAGCACTATGTTTACTTTCTCTAAAAAACTTTATTTGCCATGAGAATGCTTATTTTCAGATTTATGACATGGGAATAATTACATGAAAAAGGGGTATAATAAAAGTCCCACAGAGTCACCACAAAAAAATGCCCTATTTTTTAACATATCAAACACCTAACATGGATACAGCCATTGTGGAGAAGTTAAGATTTGGTCACCAGTGTGACTCATGATATGTTTTTATAAATAAATAAATAAACAGGGATTTAATAATCTTAATAAGTTTGTGAATAGGGCCATTATAGAGGTGATAAAGTTTTGACATCCTTAGGGAACATATCTGGAATTAAACTTTTGTAAACATCAAGCAAATTTGACATCACCCTGTAAAATTACATTCAGCTTTTCAAAGATCCAATAGGATCAGATTTTGTATAAGAGATGGAAAAAAATACATACAACTGCAGTAATGAACAAATATCTGGAACTCAAGATTATCAACCGTTTCTACTGGCACTTCATATCAAATAATTACCAGTCAATTTCTTTAATTAAAAAGTCAAATACTTTTAAAATGGTCTTAATAAAAATGAATTGATACTTAAGAGCTTTAAATTTAAGTTACAGTATTGAGACATAATAGGTGACATCAAAGTGAGAAGAAAAGCATTTATAATTTTTTCAAATATTTCTTCACTATGAATACACTAATGCTAAAACTTTTATTATGTCATATACACTCAGCAAAAAATTTTTTTATCTTGTACAAACAAAGAATATGCTTTATAAACCTAGGTGAAAAAATGGAACAGATATTACAAAACTATTAGCTTTAATATCTCTATCATGAAGCTGCACTTAAAGAAATTATAAACTATTTTGATATTGATAGCAAGTACTACTTTTAAAACATCATAATAATGACAATAGGGCTTTCTAAGCAAAGAATCTGAAAATTACTTCAGCAATTTTTAGCCATTAAAGATTTTTTTAATGATCATAGAAAAAAAACATCACATGGAAGAATGCTCACTTAGAAATATGCTCATACGGAAAAAAGCTCACATGGAAATAAACCCACTGATGAATCAAATTCATAGAAATATCTTTAAAATAATTAATCAATAATTAATTGATTTGAACATTGTACACCTACTTGAAATTTTCAAAGAAAAATTATTTAAATTACCAAAACATCTATGATATATATATCAAAAACTGTATAAATTAAGTGTAGATTTAGTTGCTATATAAGATTAACAAATGGGCATTTTGAATTAGGAAAAAGACAGGAGAAAGGAAGAAAAATGAAACAGAATATACAGAGAAAAATTATTACAATTTTAATTGTTAAAAAAATAAAATAATAGTAAAGTATAAGTTACACATTTTATAACATAAACATTTAGAAGAATAAGCAAATAGAAATAATTATTTTACTTAAATTACACAAAATACCTTTTATATATAAATCATGTATATTTCACATAAACTTATAAGGTATTTCTCCCACCTTCTTAGCATGCCTTTGTGGTGTGGTGGTCTGCACACTTGGCGCATATTTCAGAGGTCCATGGTTCGATTTCCAGCGAAGGCTTTGCTCATTTTTCACATCTCCTGCTTCCAAAATACCTAATGTTTCTACAGTGGCGCCTGAACTAAAAGGGTGGTGGATGATGATTCTCCACACCCAGGATTTGGAGATTGGGTCCCCTAAAAACCCCAGTCAACCTTTAAAAGGGGGGAGTATATAAGGTATTTCTCCTGCCTTCCGAGCATACCTTCGTGGTGTGGTGGTCACAATGGGCACGTATTTTAGAGGTCCGTGGTTCGATTCCCGATGAAGGCTTTGCTCATTTTTCACATCACTTGCTTCCAAAATACATAATGTCTCTACAAACTTACTGAATATTAGCTAATATATGTAAATATATAATTTTATCATTGATTTCATCATAGTTTCTTACATGATTCGCGATTACCAAATGCGAGTTTTCATTTTTTTATTTCAATATGCCCTGTATTTACAACAGCTAGTAATAAATGTTGATAGGCTAAATCTTTTTTCAGCCCCCCCCCAAACAAAACATACTAGGATGGCTACAATTAAATAATGAATTTAGTACCTTATGAAAGCTTTCGTAATAATTTGTTGTTTTAGGAGATTTTTCGAAGGCTGCTTCATAATGATTCCACACTTCGATTGGAAACTGCAATCTTCTAGAACTTTTTTGGCTCCAAACTTAAATAACTACATTCAAACATCAATTTCTATAGATACACATCAAAAGTATGCAAAAATAGAGTAAATAAAAAACAAAAATAAACTATTGGCAGTTACAGGGGGAAAAAATGTCGTACAGGAGGAAGTGGTATAAAATATTGCAGTACATGCAAAATTTTATAGTTTTCATTCTTTTATATACTGTCCCTGAAAAGGTTAATATGAGCATTTGTCCAATAATTTATTCAAATGATCAAATAATTTTTCTTTAAAAATTCAAGTAGGTGTACGATGTTCAAATCGATTAATTACTGATTGATTAATGTAAGGATATTTCTATGTATTTTATTTACCAGTGAGCTTATTTCCATGTGAGTATTTTTTTTATGCAGGCATATTTCTATGTAGGCTTTTTTCCTGTGACCATTTATATTTATATCTGTGAGCATTATTCTGTAAGCATTATTCCTGTGGGTATTTTTCCTAGAACCATTAATAACAATTTACTACAATGCTAGGATAAAAGAATCCTTTAGAAAAATTTAGAAAGAAATTTAGGTAATTAAAAAAAAAAACAAAGAAATTATTTGCAAATCCTCACCATCAAATAAATACATATTACAAGAAAGTTTCTTAAAATACATTACGATATTTTTATTAGGCTATATGTATCATTTACACTGACAAATAAATTTAAAAATTTGATTATTTTTTAAAGAAAAGTAGTAAGTTAATGATATAAATTTTCAAATTAATAAATAAAAAAAATAAGAAATTTTCAATGGTTAAAACACATATTTAAAGATAATAATATAGCTAAGAAAAAGAGCAGGAAAATGATACCAAATACAATATGAATTAACACAGCAGCACACAGAATGGAGATACATTAAACACATCTGAATAAAATCAGACTCCTAATGAAAATAGAACAATGCCACGCACTTTTACAATTGCATTGTTTTTGGAGAGAACATTCAGTGATCATTATAATTATTGTTCTGTTTTACAAAATGTCAAAAGTGTAAAATGTTTTCATCCATACTTCTGTATGACAGTTTAATTCTTGATCAAACAGAAATGTTTATACAAATGTTTGATTGAAAAATAACTAGAACAGATCATGGGCTTGCTTTCAGGTTGAAGTAAAAATGTTTAGTAATTTAAAATGAAGAATAATATGAATTGGTACAGATATTGGTACAGAATTGGTAGACCTGTAATAAGCATTTAAGAAAAATTAAAGTTTTAATATGATAAGGTGGAAACAATACAATCTACTTAATCACACTGTAAAAATTTGTCAAAACTGAAACTGACATGCTTTATCTAAAATCGTTTATAAATTTTTATTACTTTTTCAATTTTCAGTATAATTAAGTGATTAAATTTTGGCATGATTAACAGCAATATATTGAGTCTGATTTTGCATAATTATTTTTTTAATTCTCTTAAAATAACTTGACAAACATAACATGTTTATAGATGAACTGTAAGATTCAGATATTGTGTCTTTGATTTTTGCCTTAGGTAACATATTAAGATAAATTGTATCATTAAAATAACTAACAACAGCAAAATTTAGGTTTTCTACATGAATCTATGGGTCTCTTCCATTATAAAACAAAATACACTGAACAATTTTAGAAAGATGGGTGCACCAAAGTAGTACACAATGTACTTGCCTGACTTTATCTGATACTTACTTCTATGAATTAATTCACATAGTAAAAACAAAACAAATCTGAACATATCTTTGTTAACACTGCTGCCTACTGGCCTTTTTAAAATTAAATGCATTACTTTTTACTGTTATAACAATGTTTTTGTTTTCAAAGCAATGTTTATAAAAGTTTTATACAGTGTGGCCTTATATTCTAATTTTTTCCCCCTCCAAAATAACTAACCTAACAGATAAATTTCTTAATATTCAGAAAATGTTTACCACCATGTTGTTCTATAATAGAATAGGGTACTTTTCCGTTTCGCCGCTGCAAATCTCGCCAAGCAGACTTTATTGGTGACAAACAAACAGTAGACACATAAAAAATGTTAACAAATGTTAGTTAAGAAATTTTTATTTTTAAAGTATGAACATTTTAATATCGCTTAAAAATTGTGTAAAAAAACAATAAATTTGTAAAAAGACATTAATTTAAGAATTTAGTACGTTTTCATGGTACAACATCCCGATTCGCAGTTTCTTATTACGTGGACCCAAGTGATCTAATCTCACGTAAACTATGCTACAAAAATCTAATTCTCTCAGTAATTATCTACATTAACTCTTAATTTGGAATACAAGTTTAAATGCAAGAATTATTTCAATTTGAACAAAAAGCTTACTCAGAAATTATGTGAAACCACAGTGCTTTACTTCGATAGTGTATTCTCAATAGAATTGATGAATTTAACCCTTGACTTTGCCTTTTCTATATTTTCGCCTTCGGGTGAGTGGTGTGATTGCATCCTAATTGACTTAATTACCATGAATGGTCTTAGGGTATAAAACTGAACTATGTGGGAAAAAATTCTATGCAATTGTATGCCAGTATTGAAAGAAACAATCAATCTGATAAGAAATGGCTATCAATCTGATAAGAAATGGCTGTGACTTGTTTTGAAAATGAGGCGTAAAAGATTACTAGCAATGATATTTCGTTTGCTATCGGTTGTACCATTTTTGGCGACTTTAATGCTTGCACCAGCAAAATGGAAAAGTACCTAGAAAAGATATAAATCCATTACCGTTCTATAAATAAATTGCATAAATTGTTTTCAATATGGCAATACATAAACTCTAAATACTACGATTAAATAACATAGGAAGAAATTCAGCAAACGATTCAGGATTAAGGTTACTAAGGTTATACTTAACTAATAAAGTCGTTTTTTTTTTATAAATTATCAATCTGCTACAATGAAAATATTCCTAAATATATAATTATATAAAAATCTTACAGGAAATTCAAGAATATCATTTTCATTAGATGGGCTCATTTTTATCAAAGTTAACGCGTTGGATGATAATGCCACACGGTAGGGTCCAGATAAGTTTCGATCATATTCCAGATCATGCTTATCAATCACAACTTGCCATAAATGTTCTGAAATAAAAAAATGAATAATTTTATATAAGTTAGCAAAATGTCAACATGTTTGCTCTGCAATTACAAAGTTAAACATTTTCTATTTTTTATGTAATTAAAAGTCATGCATATATACAAATCTAGAAAAATGGATGCATGCTAAAGAATATTTCATAAAGATGGGCTAAAATGCATGGAGAAAAAACATTATTTAAACTCCCTTAAAACAGTATAACATTTATGTTATATTATTTTAAGAATTTATATTACACTGTTCTGTGGTTATAAAGAAACATTTAATGATGAAGATTTTACAAATTTAGCAAGAAAATGCTTTGTCATAAAAAAAACTTTTATTATCCAGAATAGCAAATCTCACACTATGGTATGTGTATAAGGAAGAAACTTTCAAGGAAGTTCTGACAAATGACAAGACAACTAAATGCAGCAGAAAATTTCTAAAGTGCACAGAAATTGCCTTCCGTTGGAGAAAATAAAACTCTGAAATGTAATATATCAGAAGTCCATTTTAAATAAACAATATAGGTTTAGATGTTATTTATAATTTTATGATCACAGTAAGATCACATTAAGACTTTCTACCGGGGGGTGGGAAGTGGAAGGAAAATTAAGTACATTTATTCATAAATCCAGGAGGCAATAAATTTATCTGTACCATTCAGCTGTTAAGTGATGTCCATCTTCATAAAATGAAAGCTTCATAAACAAACAGAAATTTTGTTTTAAATATTTAAAGTTTAGAATTCTTTTAGTTCTTATAGATCAAGTTTTCTGCATATAATTCTAAAAAAAAACGAGAGCTATATGTTTCCTCAATGATGATTTATTAAATGAGTGTATTAAAACAGATGAAGAGTATCAAAACTTCAGATGGAAAATATAATATGGAATTGCAGAAAACCTGTTAATGAGACTAAAAATAAGATCTCATCTTCATAGAGATCACCAGCAGTGAAAGAATAAAGGAGGGCATTAGACATATGAGAAGAATTCTTGAATGCAGAACATCTGAAAAATTGTATAGTATATTTATGATATATAAGAGTTTAAGTAGTTTACTAAAAGTTACATCGTATTAGATGAATTAAGAACAGTTCTTCTGACACTCTAAATCTAATTAAAATTTTCAAATTCTAACTACATATGTAAAATGATTTAAATAATTCATTTGTTTCAACTAGTTCAATTTTACTATGACTGCATGTCTATGATTTTCAATTTCTATGTCATTTAAAATATATCAAATATAATACAATTTCATAATTTAAAAAAAGAAATTTATTATTATATCTAAGTGATTGCATGATCCTTATATGTTAGAAGTTATGTAATATAATATCATTAACTAATACAGTAAGTTCATAATTATATATAATAGTTTAAGTTGTAATGTGATATATAACAGCTATAGGATTTTAATTTTGATTAAAAGGATTTATAAGAATGAAACTGGTCATGACAAATGTGATTCTTAAGTAGTGTTTAGTGTATATACCTAAACTTTTTAAAATGTCCAATAGATTTAACTCAAAAAATTTAAGGCTTTATAAAAAGCATTTTCTCAAATACTTAATACTATACCTTAAATTATTTAAATAAAAGTGTTACAAATAATAAGTACTACCATAAACTGTACATCCTCTTCCATTTTCATCTCCATCAATGAAAGTCTTCTGAACTTCTAATATATCATTTAACCAAAGTTCTAATTCTTCAGCAGTTTCTGTCACTATTGAAAAGCAATCATCTTCAGTGTACAGTGCAATCACATTCTTTTGCTTTGAATGCAGTTTCCGACTAATGTTCAAACATGATTTCAATTCAATGCTTCGCTTTGGTTCACAACCTGATTTCCACTTTCTCTCTGAATTATAATATTCTAACCTCGCAGCTCCAGTTTCTGATTCCATATGCAGAACAAAAAATCTTCTTTTCATTTTCTGCAGAAAGTAAATACAATATATATATATATAAAAGAAGAAGAAGAAGACAATATACAATTATTATAGCTAACTTTTCACTATTAACGAGTTCAATGAATTCATCTGCAAATAGTTCAGCAGCTTCAGTATACAATTATTATCGTGAAAGAATAATTTAACAATATACAGTTATTATCATGAGAGAATAATTTAACAATATACAATTATTATCATGAGAGAATAATTTAACAATTCCAAATAAATATTTTCCCTTCAAGTATTTTTCTTGTTTTAACTAAAATTGCACCAATCGCATACAGCTTCCCATATATCATAAAAAATGCATAATTTTCTTTTTAATATTTTGCATTCAGTTGCCCATTATACATTTACATAAAAATAAAGAAGAGTACAAAGTCCGAGATTCAGACTTACCGGGACTGGGGAAATTCTGGATTTGGGATTTTTCGGGATATTAGATCATCACTTTAAATCTAACAAGATGGCATGCAGAAAGTAAAAATACAAAATCATGATTTATGAAATAATGAAGCATTTATGATCTAAAGGGTGTCAAAATTTACGAAAAAAAGGGGGGCCTTAATGTTTGTTTACTTTATTAAGCATTTCTTTCAATGTAAGTTGTTTAACATAATCATCGAAACTTTTTTGTTTTATATAACCTCTCTGTCACTTTCTTCACTATCATTAGCAGTATTTTCTGGATCTAGAACCATACCACAGATTTCGCTGTCCATTAATTGATTTATGATTGGGGCCTTGTCATTGCAATGAAAAATGTGTGTAGATGATTTTCATTTATTACCACTTCTCCACATTTCTTTACAAAATTTATAGGACAATTTCACCTTTGGTTTGCATTATCTGAAAAATCTTTAAATTCGTGGCTATCATCTTCATCCTCCTCAATATGAAATATGGTAGCTGGGCATAAATTATGCCAAACATTTTAAAAAGTATCTGGAGAGACATGCTCCCATCATCTTGCGATGCTCCACACAGCAGAGTTAATGCTAAAATATTTCAAAAATTCTTGAAAAGTCTTGCCATTATTCAAGAAATTTAACATGGATTTTTAAAATGCTACTTTATATTTCCATTTCAGTGCATGCACGATTATGATATCTATAGGCTGAATAATGGACATACAATTTGGAGGAAAGAATAATACGGATACATTATCTTTCACTAAAACTTTAAGTGAAGTAAGAGGCGAATAATTGTCAACAATCAGGACAATTTTTGCGGCATCAGGTAAACAAACCAAATTCAAATGTTGCCAAGCCTCGGGTATAAAATGATTTTCAAACCAATAATTCATTAACGCTTGTGTCATCCATGCTCTTTTATTTTTATCATATATAACGGGGAAATTCGTTACTCCTTTTAAATGCCCAAGCTCATGTATTTTTTCCGATTAAAGTTTACATTTGTGCTTTCCTGCAGCATTTGCGCATGCTAAAGTTGTTAGTTCCACTTTGGAATCTTTGAAGCCTTTTCTGTAGAGGTTGTCAAGGTGTTAAAATTGTTAGTTTCACTTTGAAATCTTTGACAGTAGTTGGAGCCTTTTCTGAAGAGGTTGCCAAGGTATTTTGTTGTACGTACATATTGCGAGAACAGTTGTATCAGCATTGTAAATTTGTTCTGGAGCTAACTTTTTGCTTTTAATGAATTCAATGAATTCATCTGCAAATAGTTCAGCAGTTTCAATATAAGCTAAAGCTATTTCACCTGAAATTGTTAGCTGCTTTATACCATGGTGATTTTAAAATTTGGTTAACCAACCTATTGAATACATGCACTCAGTTTTTAAGTTCATTTCTTCATGAAATATTTTAGCTTGAGCCATTAGCACTGTATCTGTCAATGGCTCGCTCTTGCTGCAATGCTGTCTGACCCATTCAATCATTACTTTGTCATGATCGTCACTTCTGGCATAATGAATAATTTTTCTTTTATTCATTGTGAGTGGTGTGTCAGAATCACAAAAAATTCAAAAATTCCTTTTTCCATTTTCTTATGTCATATACAGTTGACTTTCCAGTGCCATACTCCTCACATAATTTTGAGACAGATATATCTTTATCCAATTTTTTGTAGGAATTTCACTTTTCATTTAATTCATATCCAACCATGCTTTCACTTGGTAAATCCTTTAGCAGCTTCAGAATTAGAAACTCTTTTCGACATATCGAACACTCAAACTTTAATTTTCATAAAATTGCTGTAATAATAACAGCCTGCATAAACTAATAAGCTGGATCAAATCAGAAATTTAAGGAACAGGGCAATCTGCCATATTAAATTAAATTTCTTGGAATCTTTAAATTCTTTTAAATAATTTTAGCCTAGCTTATAACGTCCACTATACATTATTGGCTGTGTATCATGACATTGGCGATGAAAGACAAGTTCTTCCGCAAAATTCTGTCTTACTTCTATCGTGCACTGAAGCAGTTAAGCCTGAATTGTATAAATTTAGCTATTTTTATACTTAAGTCTATTTTTTGCATATGCTTAAGGCTTATCCGAATCCTGAATAAATAAATTCACACATATACTTGAGGCTTATTGAGGGCCAGTGCTAGATATCTTACCACCTGATGCAGTCTCTGGGAGGTCCTAAATTCTGCTACCAAGTGCCTCCCTAAGTTCTAAATTTTTGCCGCCCCTAAATTTTAGGTCCCAGTACTTTCCCTAAATTCTAAAAGTTTTTCATGCCTTAATGTTGGTTCTTCTCTAAATTCCAAAAATTTTGCCTTTTCTAAATTCTACACAGTGCAGCCATATGAGCCTGCTGAGCCGAATCTGGGTTTATGTGAATAACAAATCAGTTATTCTTAATTAAACTAACACTAAATGTAACCTTTTGCCTATGAGTATCATTAACAAAATCTGCTTTCAGCATATGGAAAGAATTTTTTTGTTTTATGTAATCATCGCCAAGTGTAAAGTCAATATAAAAGTTTAACATACTTTTTGTTGTTCAATTACTAATATCAAAAAAAATTATTTAGACACTGCTGCATGAGTCATTTCTCAAGTTATCAAGTATTGATAAACAAGCAGTGATGAAAGCATAATATAATAAGGGTTTGCCAGGATGGTTTCAGGGATATAAAATATTAGTAATGTAAAATGAATGATGTTTCTGTGTAGAATGATTCAGTTTGAGATGTATGCCAAGCAGATAGAGCTAAACTATTAACCACAAAAACTTATGCTAAAAATGATCATTTCTTGAATAGCAAGGTATTTTATTTAATGCCGAAGTGAAATTAAGAATCAGAACTCTTCACATGTTTTATTATGGAGAAAAAAATCAAATGCGCATGCATAAAGCTTATTTAAAAAAGTTTGTGGTGGCCTTGAGGTCTGGATTTTAAATCATTCTGGATATTGGACGTCCGGATATAGCCAGATGACTATATCCGGATGACTAGTGATTTTGTACTGTATTAACAATTTTTAATGCATAATTTTTTGGCACCATCTGCTGGTTTACTAATTTATTATTAAGACAAACTCATTATTTTAAAAATTTTTACTTGTAAGCATTTGCAATAAGCTGATATTAATGAATATATATAATGCAAAAAAACATGCAACTGAAAATACAGTAAAAAGTCCGTAATTTGGATGTGCCATCTTACCAGATTTAAATTGATCTATAATCCGGAAAAAACCCTAACACGGAATGGCCGAAGGCCCAAAAAGTCCGGATTACGGACTTTGTACTGTATAACAATATACAGAGCATAATAAATTAGTACAAAATCAGATCACAAAGTTGCTACTGCTACAAGAATGAGAAGCTGAAACTCAGCTACCAATGAAATGGCCTACAAGAATATATGGTACTTTTCCATTTTGCCGTTGCAAATGATAAAGTCGCCAATAATGGTACAACTAATGCCAAAGAAAATATCTTCGCTGGTAACCTTTTATGCTTCATTTTCAAAACAAGTCGCAGCCATTTCTTATCAAATTGATTGTTTCCTTCGATACTGGCATACAATTACATAGAATTTTTACAAGATAGTTAAATTTTATACCCTAAGACCATTTGCGATAATTAAGTCAATTAGGATGCAATCACACAGCTCACCCGAAGGCAAAAATATAGGAAAGGCAAAATTAAGGGTTAAATTCATCAATTCTAATGAGAATGCACTAGCAAAGTAAAGCACTGCGGTTTTACATAATTTCTGAGTAAGCTATTCGTACAAACTGAAATAATTCTTGCACTTAAACTTGTATTCCAAATTAAGATTTAACTTGAAATTAATGTAGATAATTACTGAGAGAATTATATTTTTGTAGCATAGTTTACGTGAGTTGAGATCACTTCGGGTCACGTGATACGAATCGGCAAATCAGGATGTTGAACCATGAAAAGCATAGTAAATTCTTAAATTAATGTCTTTTTACGAATTTAGTGTCTTTATTTATTGGCTTTTAACAAATTTCAAATCATATTAATATGTTTATGCCTTCAACATAAAAAATTCTTAGAACTAAAAATTTTTTTATATGTATACTGTATGCTGTCACCAACAAAGTCTGCTTGGTGAGATTTGCACCGGCAAAACGGTAAAGTACTGAATATATCATCTCTAAAAATCTAGAAGCTTCTTAAATGATGTTTCTAATGCCAAAATACTACTGTACACAGATGATTATTTCTGCTTTAAATTAGTTATTATCAAAAAAGGCATAAAAATATTTTAAAAAATCCAATACTTTCCATTAGAAAACCAATTGAAAAAGCATTCACCGCTAAATTGCTAAACATTAATCAACCAAATGTCACCAAAACCAATTTTAAAGATTTTCAGAGCTAAAAAAATAGTCAAAAATTGTATTCAGTAAAACAGTTTGGCATCCTTTAGAGACAGTGCTGTTAATGAGAAAGTGGTAATTCCTCCTTAAAATTAAATGATAATCACTCCATGAACATTTGTATTGAGAAATGTGTGCATTGCATCATGTGCATTGAGAAAGCATTAATTCCTAATTAAAAAAATTGATAATAACTTCATGAAGATTTATACTTTGATTTGTAAAACAAAAGCAAAGTCCCCCCCCACACAAAATTTCTGTATTGGAATAAACTGGTAACACTACAGTCTAACAATCTAGCTTATAAACTTATGGGGCAACATCAGAACAAAGCACCATTTAAAAAACTAACAGTACAAAATTTTCTCACCTTAAGCTTTCTTAAATATCCAGCTCTTTTAACATAAAGTGGCATATTTTGATTAGAATCTAATACACATCCATTTCCTTTGGCAAAACTTCTAAATTTCTGGGACATATTTATATGAGATTCTATTTTTTCACATGATGCTCAAAACTTTTATCCTGAAAAATTAATTGTCAGCCCATTAAAATTAGTTTCATAATCACGATATAACAAATAACAACAATAATTTTTTTTCTTTTAGTAAAATTACTTGTTTTATTATAAAAAAAATCATGATCTATAACTTTTGCAATGATCATATTCCCAGATGCATCGCTAGTTATTTTCAGACTCTCATTAAGTTTATTTAATCCTGATACACCATTTCCTGAACTGTCAATGTATTAGATAAATCATTAGTAAAATTCTTTTCCCAGCACAGCATTTTTCACATGGATAACTTTTGGAAAACATTTGAAGCAAAGTACACATTTATTACTTATGTTACTTCCTCATTAGCCTAGAAATCTGGCAACACAATAATGCATGCTTTGAATGAGGCTTTTATCTCCACACCTGGTCCTTAGGTCTTTTCTGACTGCTATTTCATTTGCAAGTTGTAATAAGTTTATCTCTCTTAACTTTCATAAACTTGTTCTTTTAATTTTCAGATCTGTGAAAAATGCAAAATGATTCAGATAACTCTGAAAATTTTTAAAGGCAGGGGAAGACAATATGTGCTAAAGAAAATATTTCTCAGATGTGTAATTTGAACTTTTTTTAATGTCATTTTTTATGTTTTTTAAATGATATTTTATGGGAACAGTTGCAATTTACCTCTTGAAGGATAAATTTTGAAAGAAAGGAGAATTGAGCAGATATGGAAGCATTAGAGTGTCATGATTTTTTTTGATTTTAAAGTGATGTTGAATCGAGAAGAATGCCTTCACCATCTACAACTAACGTATGAAAAGAAGCTGTATCTTGAACCACTGCATTCAGTTGATTTAAATAAGTCTGTAGAGATCAAAATTATTTCCTGGAAGAAAAACACACAAGGTGACTTTTGCCAACTGTAGTCCCAGAAAATGCATCAGCCACATGAAAAATGTTAATCACGAATATTGCTGTACTTATCAAATAATACAGAAGGAATTAGATATTGGATCTGCAATTATATATAAAATTATTCATGAACAGCTGCATATGAAAAAAAAAAAAAATCAGTTTGTCTTTGCATCTCACAAAAGAACACCAAAACGTGGAGCATGCCAGGATCAGTAAAGAAACCCTAAAATCACATTATGATGGTGGACATCACATTATTTCTAAAACCATAACTGGTGATGAAATGTATACTGTGCAAAAAAAGGGGGGACTGTTCTATATCACCCATTCTACTGGGCCAACTAACGAAACTCAAATTGCGTTTTTCATGTTTTAAAAGCGTGACTTAGGATATATATTAGATTTATATACCTATAGCATTATTCTAACATAGGTATTTTGACACAAAATCACACTTTTTCTGAAATGAAATGCCAATTTTTTTCCATATTTCGATTCTACGACTCAAATTATGCCTAAATATTGAATTTTGTAAAATTTGGTGTGAAATTTATGGAGAAATTAAAAAATTTATCTTGGCGTATTTTTTTCAGTTTGTGGCAAGAATAATTTACTTGGCGAAGTTCTTAATTTATAGCAACCTAATTTTCCATTGCAGACGAGTGGAAAAAAATCATTGATCATACTTTAAAATAATTTTAACAAAGTGTGTATACCACATTTGATGCTGTTATCGCTTGAAAAAAGATGCCAAATTTCAAAACATGCCAATATGTAATTCCATGTATATGCTGGAAAATTCTGAATAAAAAATTCTATTTTTTGGAAGGTATGCCTAGAAATACATCTACTTTGAAAAGATGTTAAACATTTTATAAGTTATAATAAAAAAGGGTTTTCGAAAAATTTATAAAAACTATTTAAAAATACAAATTTGAAAAAATAAATAAAAAATATGACAGTAAAAGTATATTTACAGGTACCGCTTGACGAAAATTGGGAATTTTTGGCGAGAATACATGGATACCGAGTTTGCGCAATTCTTTGACTTGCTAGTTTGGCTTTGTGTAGCGGCAATTTTAGCACCAAAAATCGCTGCTACACAAAGATGAAATAACAAGTCAAATAATTGCATAAACTCATTATCCATGTACACATCGACTTATTTTCACTTAAAAAACATCACAGAATTGCACAAATTAAGCATTGTGCACTCCCTTGACTTTATCCATGTACACGTCAACCTATTTTCGCACAAACTTGGCATTGCATACTCCCTTAACTTTGTCCATGTACACATCGATATATTTTCATTTAAAAGTCAAAGGAGCACTCAACTCTAGGTAAAAGTATATTTATGGAATATTCAACTACTCAGATTACCATAAATGAAACAACTTGGCGATAAACAAAACAACAACTTGGCAATAAATGGAACAACTTTGCGATAATACAAGGGGTACCCTTCAGTCTACTCTAACCAATGTGAGAATTAGATTTGGATTAAGCCTAAATTCAAATTCTGGAAGAAGGAATCAAGTAAGTTTAAGGGAAAAAAAGAGATATTAATAAATATATATAAAATTTAATTGACATTGAGGAGCTAAAATTTTGAGAGCTTTTTAAAACTACTTGTGCGATTTTTACAAAACTTAGCAGTTTGGCATAATTTGTGTCGTAGAATTGAAATATGGAAAAAATCTGGCATGCCATTTCAGAAAAAGTCCGATTTTGGTTATAACTGTGTTAGAATAATGCCATATATATCCTAAGTTGTGCTTTCGAGACATGAAAAACGCAAGTTGAATTTTGCCAATCGGCCCAGTAGAACGCGAGATATAGAACTGTCTCTCCTTTTTTTTTTGCACAGTGTACATACCATTTTTTAATGTTCCAACATGTCAATAAAGTAAAATATGGGTCTTTGAAAATGATCCCAAATCAAAAATGGAGAAAAGAGAATAAGCAATGAAAAAAGTAATGTATGCTGTTTTCTTCAAATGTACATGACTTGTCAAAGCCATCAAATTAGAGGGACATATAATTGTTACAGATAAATGGTTTGCCACTAAGTGCCTTTTCAAAATTCTTTAAGAAGTGGAAATTCGGAGATTCATGTTTGATCACGATAATCCATCTTTTCATTAAGCAAGAGTGACAATTGAATTTCTATAACAAAAGCCAGATTAAAGTCATAGAACATCCACCTCTTGCTATGTGTGACTTTTGGATATTTTTTAACCTAAAACAAAATTTGCGTGGCTATCATTTTCATTCCAACAATGAGTCTGATGAGGTAATAAAGGGATATTTTTGATTGATTCCAAGAAATGGTTGGTTTGAAGGATTTAATACTTGGAAAATTCAAATACAAAAATACATTGATGTTGAAGGAGACTACTTCGAACATTTGTAAGATTAGGTAAGCTTAACTTGTACCATTTAGCTGTACCTCATATATTTCAGAATAACCATCATATTATTAGCATATTAATTTCTACACTAATCAAGGACAAGTTTTGCGATCAAATAGTCAAATGTGGTAAAATATGCACAAAGAGAAAAATTTTTATGGAACTGATGTTTGGTAAACTGGAAATAGTGTTGGTACTTTCTGATAATCTGCATCCCCACTGAAAAGTTGTGAACTCACTGGTAACTCTAGAAAAATTTTGTGAATTTGTTGCCAACTTTGAAGAGAAAGGCTTATTTGGATTATTTTTGCACTGTTCTTCTCCCCAGAAACATAGCAATTCCTTTTCGCCTTAAAAAAAAAAAAAAAAAAAAAAAAAAAAAAAGGGGGGGGGAAGATAACTGCATAAACTTAGCATCACATACAACCATGTTACCAAAATTTTAAAATGAAAAGGAGAAAGAGGCTCATGTTGCCTTTATGCAAGTCACATTACCTCGTCACATACAGAAAGCTAAGATTATAGACTTTTCCCAAGATAATGAAAACTTTAGTATGCAGTCCATGCCTACTAAGGCTGCGTTCAGACGGCAACTTAAATATCACAGAGGCACACTCACAAGGAATAAAATGCGGGAGTTCTGTTCACACCTGTGACATAAGGTCTAAGCCACACCCAATTAGAGAAGCTAAATTTACACATGCGTAGATCTGCGTACAGCTTTCTCGCTCCGTTTTCCCATTCAGGTTTTGTGTGTTCGCTCTGACTGATTGATACTTACTCCAAGTCGGCATAAAGTTGAAAACTTCGAACTTTATGCCAAGAGCCCTACACCAGATTTTGTGATTTAGTGCAGGCTAGTTCCCTGTCAACGCAGCTCAGCTTAAACCACTTATGTCTGTTACACTGTAGTCTGAACGCAGCTTAATACACTGAAATTTCCATAGGAGAATCTTATATATATATAGACTGCCATCACGCTGCTGAAAACGTCTGGAGAAGTATAAAGTCACCAAGTGGGGTGCTATGCACGCATTAATACTTTGGGTGACATCATGAGTTCATACATAAATACTTTTTGGCAACAATGGACATTGCCTCATCAATACTTTTTGTGGCTTTCAGGTTTTTGTGTCAATAATCAGAATGTACCACAATGCTCTTCATCTGATATAAACTGGTATTATTCCAACTAACAGAACCAGACCAAAGAAAAAAGTAAAAAATATTACTGCGTTTGAATATACATAAGTTTTATAGATCGTATAGCTGAGTAAGTAAATTTAAAGTCCAGTAGAGTCTGGTTTCTGAGAAGTTAGTGAAAAGACATTAGTGATGTAAATGTAGAGAGTACAGATAAATAAGTTTTATACATTCTATAGCTGGGTAAGTAAATTTATTTAAAGACTAGTACAATCTGGTTCAATCTGAGAAGTTAGTGAAAAAAGAATAGTGATGTAAATGTAGAGAGTACAGATACGTGAGTAAAAAATCTGCTATCTTTATTAAAATATTATCAACCATCATGTATAGCACGATGGAAAGACTTAAGCTTTTGTACAAATTTCCTCATAAAATATCAGATGTTGGCATGGCAGAAAACATTCAAAGGACACACTTATTATGTTACTCTGCATTAACAGTGACAGATGTGACAAATGAGTGCCCATTGCTTGTGATTAGGAAATTTTGAAACC